GGAAAACAGATCATTATGATTCAAGTTCAAAACATATTCAAGAAATGTTTCCAAAGTATTTCCTTCTTTCACCTATATTGAGGCTTTTACAATTTAGAAGTCTTCAAATGATGGCTTGCTTGTTCTCTGCTTTGGTACACGCTCTTTTTTTTTCTTGCAGTGGTCTGGTTTCTTATACTTAGTTGCTTACAAGCAACTACTGACATAGAACAACCATGCAATTAAAGTACATCAATTACTGTCATTCTTTACACTTGCAAGCATTCATATATTTTGGAAGCAAAGCTCAAAATATTATGTGATCCACAACTTCGCTTGTCTCACATACTTCTACTGAGAGACTTAACTCTCTAGTAGGTTGAATGACAATTCCTAGACTTTCAAGACAGATGTCTAAGGCCACAAATTATGACTCTCTGAGATTTCATAACATGTAAGTTCATCTGTTGACAACTTATTTTTGTTCAGAGCAGCTAAGAACTTCATCAAAGATTATCAGAAAAATAAAATGTTAACCATAAAAGTGGACTAGTTATACTGCCTACTTTTTTTTTTCTCTTCAGTCATCTGTGTGCAATTTAATAAGTATTTGTGCATGCAGTTCTCATGATTTACCCTATCTTTAGTCCCTTGAGGATGGGAAGAGAAAGAAACATGATCAGACTTCTGGCCCCAGATGACTCAGAATGGTATTCTAATATTGTCTGACTAATAGGTCTCTACCCTCACTTATCCATATCTCTTTTATATCTCTGAGTTAGTTTTGCTTTTCATGACTCTGCACTCAAGTTTCATTGCCCACTTACAGTGATGTTTCCTTGGTTCCTGTAGGTTCCAGGCCCAAACATGAGGAATTTATTTCTTCCTAGATTGTATGTTCCAATGCTTCCTGAACTCATCCATAGAGATCCCGTTTCTCACAAACTGTCGAATATTCTCCATGCCCCACCCCTGGGGAAAGAAAAGCTTCCACATCATTACCTATAATGTCTTTTCCAAATGCCTAGCCAGCAGGATGAACACTCATTAGATTTGCTTCTTCTCCCTTAGGATTTGTGCACCTGGTTGGAGGGGATGGACCCTGCTCAGGGCAAGTAGAAGTCAATTCAAGAGGAGACTGGGTTCCAGTCTCAGATGTGAACTTCACATTCCCCACTGCCCAGGTCATCTGTGCAGAGCTGGGGTGTGGCAAGGCTGCCTCTGTCCTAGGGAATGTGCCCTTCAGAGATGCTGATGGACCAGTCTGGACTGAAGAATTCCAGTGTGAGGGGCACGAGTCTAAGCTCTGGTTCTGCCCCAGAGAG